CAAGATATGAATGACTACAGGTAGTACTTATAATCTTCGGTGACTGACCAAAAGAAATAAAAATACTACAATAGATTGATCCATGGGAGATTCCAAAAGACCTAGTGAGAGACTGCAAATGCTCTATATGCACATATGAACAACCTTTCATTCTGACTTTAACTTATAAACCTTTTGCAGAATAGAAAATAGAGAATTAAAACCTCCCAAATGTAGGGTGCATGAAGTGTCATTAAATCTAGCATAAAATTTCTTGAATCTGTCAGATAAAGGAAATCATGTATCCAGAGTGAAGACAGAATATCAGTTGACAGGAATCTATGAAGCTGACACGTATTCTGAAAGACATATGAATCCAAAAATCCAATAGTGCCTCAGCCTTTGAAAATACTAGAAGTGAGAAAGGTACTAAGAAAATCAGTAAGGTAAAAATCTTCATTCTACTGTTTAGAATGACTCCCACATTAAGATTTAACTAATACAATACTTCTAGAATATTAAAATATTATCTCCTGACTCAGAAAAAACAAAGATAAGAACCACCTAACTTCTAGAGAAAGTAGTTAAAGAGAAAGAATTGAAAAAATTAAAGGCATGCCTAAGGGGTCATTCCTGTCCTGTTGTCATACCTTTTAACGTCTTCAGGTAGAAGTGTTGAACTTCAGTTCATCTAAATTCCTCAGCTCTGTCATCAGTGCTGTGACACATCCTAATTTTCTGATTCATTTGATGAATAAGCTTTCCCTTTTCTATTCACAGTGCTTAAAGTAACCAATTTTATGGGTTGTGATTACTTACTTTTTTATTGCACTCTTATTGTTTTCTCTTGGCAAAGTTCATCTCACTCTTTATCATCCAGTGTGAGTTCCATGTGCAGAAAAGCCCTTGGACACTCATACTGCCTAGGTTTGGGGTTAGTCAAAAGGAATGAGAGACCAAGGATCTGAATTCTGTTTTTAACCCAGCCAAATACCTCAGCTGGCAAGCTTCAGCTTCCTCACCATAAAATGGGTATAATAATAGCTTTCCCTTACCACTGTAAAATATTAAGAATGCAAATCAAGCCAAACCTGTCTGCTTCCAAAGAGAAGTTTAAACCAGCCTGCAGAATCCTGAATGAGCCTAAATTTCAGGGGGAAACATAAAGTGGGAAACACCTAGAAGTAGTATAATTTAATGGTCAAAGTATGTAGACTTTGGAATGGTACACACTTACTCAGACGCCAGAAGCTGTGTGATTTGGGATAAGGATAAGTTTCCTAATTTCTCAAATCTCTCTCTCTCTCTCTCTCTCTCTCTCTCTCTCTCTCTCTCTCTCTCTCTCTCTCATATAAATAGGAAGTCATGGTGTTTTTTCTCTTATAGTAAGGATGACATGAGCACTGTTACTAGTGCTTCTCCAACTCTCCTACTTATGTGATTCTCAAGCTAGAATGATCCAATACTTGGTGTCCCTGCTGGGGCATTACAGGAAACTCTCTGCCACAAACATTTCAGTGGCATCTCAGGTGTCACCCTAAAACTGCATCCATATTTTGCTTTCCAATCTCTAGCATATTTTCATTTGTCTCACTAAATTGGAAGTTCCATGAGGACAAGAACAACTTCTATAGCATATATATCTTCTATAGCATCCAAGAAATAGTTAGTAGATACATGAATGCATGTACAAATAAAATTTAAATTAGTTACCCACAAGGAAAACTAGCCCTCCAGGAAGACAGCTGTCTTAGTATTTTGTGTCTTTGTGTAAACAGTTTTATGCTCTCCACTACCCCAGTTATACCCATATCCAAAATGGAGATTTTACTCACCAAGATGCTTCAAACCATAAAAGATACCCTGAAAATAGTAACTCTTCTTAGCATTATCATTTTTCTGTTCTGTATTCTTTTACCTCAGTGTGAATAAGGCTCTATGGACATTTTTTAAAATAAATTATAAAGGACTAGGAAGATGCAAGTCTGGAAGATTTTAAAGAATCCACTTATCTCTAGCCAAACACCCTTTAGAAATCTATTTTTTATAGGTTTTCTTTGCTCCTAGCTTCAGCTTTTCGTGTGTTGTTAAAATTCCTAGAAGTTATAAGTAGTGGGATTTAAGGAGGGTTTTCTCTCCTTTCTGCCAAGGCCACTGATAAGTAACCTGAGATCCTTCTTAGCCTTCATGGGGTCCCAGAGCTCCTTGAAACTTGCTGTTTTTTGAGGAGTTTTCTGGAGAGAGAGTTTCTTCTAGGAATCTGTATCACCTCCAAATGTTGGAAACCACTGCCCTAGAACATTATGTAAATTGAAATTAGAACTGACTGATCTTTAAAGTTACAATTGATAACACTTCCAATTCCTTAGAGATTGACACTTGGTAATAATTTCCACTAAGGAATCATGAAACTAAGAATAGATTTCAGTACATGTCACCCTTCTTGCCCCTCTTTATATTCATACCCCCACTCACTGTTTCAGTATCCTGAATTGGAGATGGAGAGCTTTACAGTTTTATGTTCTTTGCTACATATTTGTACATTGGACCTGGAATTTGCTTAATGTAAATGCTTTCATTCTTATGCAAAATGATTATAGATAATTCTTTTCATTTTAGACAAAAACGATGTACAAACATATAAGGTAAATACCACTGAGGTAGAAGGGACATGTATCAATAACATAGCATTTTGAATTGAACAAAAATAAATCTATGTAGATTAATATGTGTTCTCAAAATTGCATAGCAGTTTGTAAGTCAATCAAGATGCAAGGGTCTTTTGACATTTATAAGCATTTATGAATTATATAAGAACTATAAGATTAAATTTTTAGCCTTAGTATTAAACTTAGGATCAGTATTATTATTTAGCATTAATATCTAAGGACAGTAATTATATTCAATTAAATCTTCAATTTCACTTGGCTTTAATTTATCTTAGATGGTAACATACACTGTGATTTTTCTCTCTGTAGTCGATTACTGTCTTTGACAGCCTATGTGTCATTTGACATCAGGAAAGATAGTTTTTTGTTCCAGACCACAGATGTATTAGTCAATCTGGGTAAAATTTCCATTGATCTCTTTTGGTCACATCAAAAATTTAATTTTGACTAATTTTGTGAATAAATGCTCCTTTAAATTTAAGTAGGAAAGTTACCTGCATAGATATAAGAACAGAAGCACTAGGTATAGTATAATAAGAGCACCATGTATTATTGAGGAATAATTGGGGTTATAATGTGCAATAGAAAAGTGTAATTGGACACTTTTATAGAAAATCACTAATTTTTTCCCATTTTCCCCAGAGGTTGAGAAAGAAAGAAAGCTCAAAGAGTATGTGTTGGTGTGTGGAGGGAATTGGAGGGCACAGCAGAAAGAAAGGAAAGAAGAAAAAGAGGGAGGGAGAGGAAAAGGTGAAAAAGATACACCAGGGCAATAGTCTAGAATTTGGCCTGTAGGGAAGAAAAGAATGTAGTAAAACTTAGAACTTTAAGATCTGTGAAGACTAGTCAGTTATTATTTTGTATTTCAAATTTGTACATACTTTCAATAAATCACACATAATCTAATTATCTTGCTTAAATTTTTCATTAAACTCATCAATTTTGTGGTTTGAAAGCATGGGAGACCCCCAACCTCTCTTGCATTAGCATGCATTATGATCAAGGCTGTAGATTTTCTTCTTAACTCTTCATGTCCCAGGAGGGGACCACCACCTTTTACATCTACATATACATGGATAGGTTTCCCATCCACCACATATTAGGAACCATTTCTTTGGGAAAATGTCTGCAGTTATGCATTTGTCCAGAAAACTGTCTGGAATGTGAGTTCTGAATAATTGTGGGTGTGCTCCTTTAGCCCTAATATAAAGATATTCAATCAGGCCCTTCTACTAGAGCTCCTTTAGTGAAGTTTGTTTGCATATTTCTGGAGGACTTCTGTGAAGTGGTTAAAATTGTCTGTCAGAAACAAGAATTTATTCAGCATATATTAAATCCTTGATATGTTCTAGTTGGGTCTGTGAGGGAGGTTTGCCTTTGTTTTCTCAGCATCCTTGTTTGGTTTATTAATTTCTGTGGATATTCTCTTAATTTAGTTTTATCCTTCTTTAACAGCAGGTATCAAAATAATGGAAGACAAACCAGTCCTCTAATAGTTTATTTGGCATGTGCTTGAAAAATTGTAAAGGAGAATCATTACATTGCAAACATAGAATATGGAGCTATTGAGATCAACTCTCCCCCAAACTTAACTTTTTCATCATTAGAGATATGTTGTGGGTGGGGGGAGATGCTTTAAAGAGACATTCTTAAACTGGTGCAGCAGAGTAGAGGAGACAGTATTAGAAAGGGAAGTCAAGGCATTGAGCCTGATTTGGTTGACTTCTCTGTGTTACTGAAGTTCAACAATGCATAGAAATATGAAATTTGTCTAAAGGGACATTCAGGCAGTAAGCACATTAAATTTATACTGCAAGAGCCAAAAGTCCTCAGGTTTTAACTTATCTTTGCCAGAATTAGCTAAAATTTGTGACACACTATGTAATAAAACTGTTCTTATCAGTGCTGCCCAACAGAATATTCTATAATGATGGCATGTTCTATGCCTGTGCAATTCAGTAAGGAAGACACTCACCACCATGTGGCTATTAAGTACTTGGAATGTGGCTAGTAAAACTGAATGACCAAAAGTTTAATTTTTTGTTAAATTTTAAATAATTTATATCAAAATAGACAAGGCTATGGCTATTGTATTGAAAAATAGTACAGCTCCAGAAAATTCTATATGATACAGATCAGGATGAAATTGACAAAGAAAGATTTTGCCATCCCTTGTGCTGAGAAGTACTATGTTGGTCATCATAACAAGTAGTCATGCCCATTGGAAAATTTCTGTGAGTCTGGGTCTCCTTCATTTGAGGAAATAGGGGACAAAATGGCTAAAATTCCATCTTAGATTTCTTTATATAATTAAATTTGCATTTAATTCCATGTTTTTTCTTTAATTTTCAGTTCCTTGACCATCAGTCTGTTGCCTGCCCCTTCTCGTTAGGTAAGTAAAAGTGGTTTTTTTTACCTTTAAAAAAAAATCGTCAAGTTTGGAATATTTTGGACTTTGTTGGCATATTTTCTAGATGTCTTTGTTATGGTTTCTAGTGCTTCTTTAGTATGCATTAGCTTCTTTCCTGTTTGGAGGTAATGCTGTTGGCCATAGTGGTAAGTGGCCATTCATGAGAAAGTTGAAAAGATCATAGCCCCAGCCACCATGTTTATGTAAAGACTGCCCTTTACTTGACCACAGCTGCTATTTGCAAAACTCTCTGCTCTTCTAAACTATAGCTTATGTTCTTCAGCCAGCCTTCAGCAACAGTTGGGTTTTTGATCTGCTGTCAATCAATGGCAATTGTTTATTCTTTAGTTATTCACCCTTCCGTAGATCCAACAGTTTTTAATTTTAACTTCTAGATCACAGCTTTCATTTATTGACTAAATTTATAATATCCTTTCACTAAGAAATACAAGACTGATAAGTAAATAGGCTAATTTTTTTTTTTTTTGCAAAATTTAAGTCTGGTGGGGGGAAGAAATCTAGGATTCACACATTCCATGAGATTTATAGAAGGTGGCATTCTTTTTTAGAAAAGATGGGAAGTTGGTGGGGCAGAGGGAGCTTGATTTCAAATGAAAAAAAAGAGAACATTTATTAAAGACCAAACCAGTCTGCACTGAGTGGATTTAGATAAATATTACTTTGAGCTGCTTGAAAGAGATTTGGGGGCAGTGAAACCAAATAATCAAGTCACTACAAGAGACACCACCCAAGAAATCTGGCAGGGAGTGACAGTCACCTATTATGATAAATAATCATGATCCTTCTGACTGCTTCTCACTCTCTGGTGCACAATGTCCCTTATTTACAACATTATATCTTACTTCACTGACCTAAGGTATTTATTGTGTTGTAATCATCTGCACAGAAAGGCAACTCCAGGGCTCTTTTGCTTGTGTGTGCCTTTCACTAACATTCCTAGAAGCTAGTGGCAAATATATATAGGGGGACAAAATCCTTCCAAGAAGGCTAAGACTAAAGTCAAATGTGACATTTATTTGACAGAGAAAGGAGATTGATTAAACTCTGCAAAGACTGGTGCTATGTGTAATGCATTTATACAACAGGGGTGGGTCCTTTCTGTCCCTGACAAGTCTGGTTATTCCCTGTTCTCAGTGTTGATAGGGTATGTCTGTTGATGCTTTGGAGGATGTCGATGTGCCTGTTCATGGTTACCACTTTATGTCTTCACATCCTTCCCCTCAGTTACCTAGCACTGCATATTTCTAGTCTTCTGACTGGCAAATCATTTTTGTTACAGTTCTTTTGTGTAAAAACAGTTCACATAATAGCTCTGTGTTAGACAAGGCATTAATCCCACATCACCAGGATGAGTCAGCACCATGCACTCCTGCCTGCACGGCTCAGTTATTATGACGTCAGTGCTTGAGGGGAAGGCTCAGACATAAGCAGTATAGGAAACCTGTGTCACCTATTAGAAATCAAAGGGGAGACCTTTGAGATAAAAACGTAATTAAAAAGCTGTCTCTGGCTCATAGGAAAATATGAAACTGACTCTATGCTACATCAACCATCAATCAAGCAGCTTCTAAAGAGATCCTATTTTTCAACCAAAAGATAAGGTGAGGGAAAAGACCCATAGTGAGCTAATAGTCCACTCATGTGCCCATGATCTTGTCCCACCCCTGAGCCAGGTTTTCTGCTTGTTTAGGCTTGTTCCAAATCCTGAGGCTGCCTTTGTATCAGCAGGGTGACAGAGCCTATGACTGTTCTGCTGTCTTCAAGTACCCCACGGACACAGCTGATGCCCCTAAGAATGGGGCCTCAGAGGCCTGTCAAAAGGAAAGGAAAAGTTCCTTGGGAACAGATCAGAACATTATCTCCTCACTCCATCTAGCTTCAAGTGCCTTTTCAATGGCCTCCTCTGGACAGGTGCAGAATCCAGCCTAATTGACCTTCTCTCCTTGGCACTGTGTTTAATCCAGTGCCCCAATCTGGATTTGACCCAGATTTCAATAGGAATTGAATAGCTTCCAGACTTTCCCCCAAGAGTTTTCCATTCCATTACTCTTTAGTAGAAACAAAAAGGATCCTTCATGATGCCTTGATGCCTTGAAGCAGGTGGCACACACTTGTCCTATTTGGGAGATCCAGTTCTTGTAAGTTAGGCCTCTTTACAATCGAACTCAAATACATTCTCAAGACAATACCTTTCAGTACTGAAAACTACATGTTGAAAACGTGATACTTTACTGCCTTAGTGACATTCTCTGTTAAAAAGACATCCCTCCATCACAGCACCCCTCCCTCCCTCTTACTCTCAGCCCAGCCAATCATCAGCCCCTGTGATAACCATCAGAAAGTGCAGTACTGCTGGGATCTCCTGCCTTCATTAGATTGCTAATAGTCTCCTACCATGCTTATAAAAGCTAATACTACTGCTTACCTTAGTTTTGATTAATTATTATTTATAGCTCTTTATTTAGTTTTCAGTCAACAAACATTTACTAGACTCAGTTCTGAGAACTCCAAAATAAATATGAAATGCTCCCTTTTCTTAAAAATCTCATAGTCTGATAGGGAATATAAATAAGTAAATGAAGATTGCCTCATGGTAGGCACTGGAATGAATACAGGTATAAGATGTATAGAGAAGAATGAGAAAAGAATGCTCAACTATATTTGAAAAGGCACCCAAGTTTGTTCTTAAAGTTAAAAAATTAAGAACAGTTAATAAGGTGGATTAAAAAAAGGTGGGGAAAGAAAAAAGGCTCATAATCAAGAAAAAAGCAATAACATTTATGAAGTCAGGAGACATCAGGCAGCCATATTCAGGGGGCTGAGCAGTTTGGTGCTGCTAAAGCATGGGGACTAAAAGAAGAACATGAGAGACAGGGATGGAAAGATGGAAAGTAGGCAAGAGGCAAATCACAGGTCTGTTGTAGGTCCTGCAGAGGAGTCTGGACTTGCTCCTGCAGACTTAGGGAGATCTTAAATAATTTAACCAACTTTGTGTTTTATAAAGAACACTCCAGTGATAGAGATGGCTGATTGAGAATAGAGAAACTAGGTCAAGGTGAAAACAATGGCCTTAGCTGTGCAGTGGGGTCAAGTGGAGAGGAAAGTCTAGTGGGGAGTTGGGTTAGTCAGCTTTTTGTCACTATGACCAAAATATCTGACAAGAACAACTTATAAAAGGAAAAGTTTATTTAGGCTCGTGTTTTTAGAGGTTAAGTTTATGGTCAGCTGATATCATTGCTTAGAACCTGAGATAAGGCAGAACATCATGGTGAAAGGACATGGTAGAGGAAAGCTGCTCAGCTTATAGAAACCAGTAAATAGAAAGAAAGAGAGAGAGGAGTCAGGGGCAAAATATAATCCTCAAATGTATACCCCCAGCATTTTATTTAATCTAACCTTCCTGAAGTTACCATATGTAATCCATTCAAATTATTAATCCATCAAATAGATTAATCCACTGATGAGGATACTATTCAGATAATATAATCATTTCACCTCTGAATGTTCCTGCATTGCTGAACATGGTGCTTTTCAGGGGACATCTCATATCCAAACCCAAACAGAAATACTGACATTTGCATAACTCCAGCATACTTTGGCCTACTTCGTAATCCCTGCCTTTTAGGAGAAAGGCTGTTGTGTGGGGCCAATAAATTTCAGACCAAAACGTATCCTTATGGGAGTTTCACTGGAGAACTCGATTTGAATCTGCCCCTACACTGATCTGTTGCCTACTGGTCCCCAGGGGTGTGTATCTCCTGCCCACAACAGTCATGGGCAAGAAGAAAGGGAGCAGAAAAGAAAATGACATTGACAGTGTCCTGCTTTTGTTCGCCTAAAAATGAAATCATTTCTTAATAATGTCTCCCTAAAGTCAATCAATGTCCCAATTTCCTATCATTTTCCCATTGCTGCCTTTTTCTAAGCAGCATTTCCAAGCCATTGAACTGAATTGCAACTTATGCACAGCCGGGTGTTGAAACAATTCAGTATATTCATTTCTTCTCTCTGAATTAGAGTTCACCATAAGTGTGCTTTTCTCTTGTTCACTTTGGGCTGCCAGGACAATTTAAAGGAAATTTTCAACAGCTTATGTTTCACATACCATGTTCTTTTTTGCAAATGGGAGGATCTGTGTGGGTGTGTTTAAGTCTTCTCTATATTGCTTTCTAGAGAAAGGTTTGAGAAGATGAACAAGATGAGGAGCAGGGACCTATTGAAAGCCCAGGTCCCCCAGTGACCTGAGTGCAGAACGTAGGCTGGTGATCAGATGGTCAATTATGTGTTTGTCAAAACACAGTGGGCTGCGTTCCAGACTGCCAGCTTTGGAGGCCCAGCTTCTGCCAACCAAATGTCATCTGGGAACATGCAACACTGGGCACTGTGAAGGAGTTTGAAATAGACCATGCCACAGCCAACCTACTGCCAGTCTTATAGCACCAATATGGCATGCACAGCCGGGCCCCATGTTTCAGAGCTCAGGAATTCACTGTACTAAATTCAGGAGGTCAGATGGGTTCATGTTTTCAAAGCCTATGTTCTCCGCTTTGAACACTGTGACTTGCTCCTCAGCAATTTCCAGGGGATTTTTCCAGTCACATCTCTGTGGAAACCAGTCTTTTTGTGATGGTTATGAGAGCCTTGTAAATGTCCTGGAGGAGAGGGGGAAAAAATAAACTTGCTCTGACAATGACTGTGATTCCTACAAGGGATTCCAGCTCTTAGGAAATTACATTAAAGGTGCATAGCTTTTAAAATATCAGGAACCACCTTGGCAACTTATAAAAAGCAGAAGGGCTTTGCCTATTTTATAAAGTGATTTGCATATACCTGCATAAATAATGTCCCCACCTGTACTTTTATGCATTTAGGTTGAATAAATTAAATTCAGTGATCTTTAAAATATTCACTGTCTTTCATTGCTCAGACATCATTTTCAGGACCCTTCCTCTTTGTTTGTT